AATGAGAGCAAATTCAAGACAGCAGGAGTGTGTGTCAGGGATTTAGTGGGAGCAAGGCTATACCCTAAGGTAGCCCTTAGCTCATCCATCTCTGCAGCATCATCTAACTGCATCCTGAGATTGCATCAGTGGGACAATAGTTAAAGGCTGTGAAATAGACATACCTATCTCTTAATTGATGATACTTCATCACTTCTCACATCTCCAGTTTTACACAACCCTGTTTATAGAAAACGAGCTGGAAAAAAAAGTTGTAATGACTGGGTAGGAAATGAGAATAAGGAAGCTGTTTTATTCTGGAAGTTACAGGTTGATATATTGGAGATGAATAATAGTAAAGGGAAGAATGAAATGCCAAAGGAGCACTGCTTGTGAATAGTTTGATAATTTCAATAGTACTAAGAGTTGCCATAATGTCTATCAAGATAATGACAGGTACCAATGACAAAGTGGCCGTGATAATTAAATAGCACAGCCCACCTACTGTGTTTGATTGTGAATTCTTCGAAATGAGTTCCATACTATTGCTTTGTGTTATTTCTTTCTCTTAATAAATCAATGGAATGTAGAACCTAGGTTTAAAAAGAACGTAATCTACACAATGCTGCGTGCTATTTGCCTGTATCTTGGCCAAGAGACTCCACATCCCTGTTCCCTTACTATCTCCTTGATATGCTTTTTTCCATTGTATTCTGCATTGCCTTCTCTGAACATAGCATCTGTCCTGTTCTTGATTTGCAAAATTATCTTGCTTTTCTTATTTAAATTCCTCCTGCACAATTATTTAATCTATTTTAAAATAATCAGGTTACTCAGGAATCTAGCTTATTTATGTGTATGTGAATAGGAAGGGTGGTGTATTGGCGGAGGAATTGAAAACTACACGTGTATATGAATCGTGTGTCTGTCATCAGTTTTTCTACTTCTGCTTTTATTGTTGTTTATTCTCCTGTCTGTGCATGACACATGAAGTTACATGGGGCAAGGCTGATCTTTTTCTGATGCCAGAGTACTGTTTGAATCTAAACAAAAATATATGTAAGGCAATTATAAGGAGAAATCCAGATAATTCAGTAGGGTTAAGCTGATAATTGTCTTTCAGCAGTGACTGGTGGCCTGAGACTTGAACTGGTGCCAGTCTGAATTATTATGAGTAGTTAGAAGGTGGTGAGTTATCTTTTGATTACCAGGGTTTCTTAAGTTTCTCAGAGTCATTATGCAATGCTGTGTACAGGGCTAATGAGATTCTGGCAGTTGTGAAAGAGGAATAATCAGAAGAAACAAGATGGTAGCTATCCTGTCACTGAAGTCCTCTAAATGCAAAATTTAAAAGTCCGATGCAGAAGATGAATTCAGATTTTGTAGGTGTCTGTATCATCTTGCTTAGAAAGATGAATTCATTTTCTAGGGCCCAGTACAACAGGGAGTTGCCTCCATGGCTACAGGAGTGTCAGAGCTCCAGTGCCTCTTTGGGCTTTGTGGCTGTGAAGTCTAATTTTGCTTCAACAGAAAGACACTGCAATAATAATACTACTAATAATTTTATTTTATTTTTGGCAACTGTATTATGCTTTTTTGGTAATCTGTCCTCACCATTACTTGTCATACCTGGGGAGTCTGTTGAAGTTTCAGGGTATGAGTTTGTTCTTAAGGAGGGTAACTGAACCAGTTTTTATTTTTCATTCAATTTTTGTGAGATTTAATTTGGATAAACTGAAACAACCGGATTTCTTTGCAAGGCTTTGAATGCAATTCATGTGTGGTAAAATTTTGAATGCTGGAAGGGAAACCAGCCAATTAGATTTTAAACTGGAGTGACCTGTTGTGATGTTTTGTTTCTCGGAGCACAGAATATTTTTGAATTTTATAAATGAGAGTAACTATAATCTGAAACTAGCCTGGGCCATGTAGTCAAGAGTGTACCCTAGCAACAATTCTGCCCTAATGGGAAATGGCCAGAATTACATTAAAAATACTTCCCATCTCAAACTTCCATAGCATTTTGAGGGGCATGATTATGGATGTGATGCAGTGGGAAGGAGGCATCAGTATATGGATATACTGCAAGTGGGGTGATTGATGAAAATCATATGCCTTTTTCTTTGAACAGTTTGATGAACTAAAGGACAGATACCTTTAAAGTCATATTTTACAATGTGATAATTCTTAACAAAGCTTCCGTTTAGAGCTGTCATAGAAACAGACTAACTCGCAGAAAACTGAGCTCGTTTCTTGGATTGCATCTGAGTGTGAAAATATGAAGTTGAGGTTATTGAAGCTATGAAGTGTTTCTTACAGTGCTACAAATGAGTCACTGACATTGACAAGAAGAAAGTGAATAAGTACATAATAGGAAATGAGTTCTGTTATGAGAAATACTGGTTTTGCTTTAATTTTGGTTTTTATTTCTCTTTCCCCTCCCTTCTTTCCCTTTCAGGGTAAATGGAAAGCTGGTGGCATTGAAGGTGATTAGATTACAAGAAGAGGAAGGAACCCCATTTACTGCTATCAGGGAAGGTATGCACTCACATTTAATGATTTGTACCTGGCCATTTTTTTGTAATTACATTGCACTTCTTATTTCTGTGCTGTGCTGTAGTGAATAACTTGAGAATTCAAATTACATGGTTATATTCTCAGTAGGAAGAAACTTTGGTGCTTCAAAAACAAAGTCTCTGGTGTAGGAGTTCTTGTTAAAGAATGCAGCTCTGCCTCTGCTTTGGCTCCCGTTAGATTTGCTACACAAATGAGTGCTTCGGAGCACGTGTTAAAGTGGGTGTGAGAAGTCACTCTGGAAGATCAGGGAGCTGTGTAAGTTGCGCATCTTACCTGCAGGCAGCACCTAAGATGAAGGTAGATATAATTTTTCATGTACCCACAGCATGAAGCGAAGAAAAGCGTTTCTTGATGAAGGCAATCAGAAGATCAGGGAGCGAAAATACAGGCATCTTAGAAGCTGTGTGTGTAGTTTGGGACAAGCTTTTGTTTGTTTTTCCTTCCCCATGGACTCTGACTTGCACGGCTTGGGAATGACTCTTATCTAGCGAGCTCGGAGATGACTGTCATGCTTTCTGCTGTGCTCCTTTATCCTTCCCTGTCAGCCTCTCGTGGTCCCTAGTGACGGCTGCTTTATCTGAGCCTGCCTGTGTTGAGCTTCTCTGCACAAATTGCTGGATGTGCCTTCTCTGTGTGGGCCTTCTCTGGTAGAAGATACTAAAAATGAGCCTTGGTAGAGAAATAATAAGGAATTTACCATCACACCACTGATTCAGACTCAGCTGAATTTGGTAGTGAACTAAAGAGACGAGGCTGTTGCGGCTTTTGAGGGACCTTTTAAAATTGTGCTGACTCTCTTGGCATTAATTCCTGAAGTGGGATGAGCCAAGGAGGTACCAGAACATCAGCCCTCACAGGGTCCACGGCATGACCCTGCATGGGAGGCGTGTGGCTTTGTGGCCATTGCAGTCGCTGGCTCAACAGCTGCAGCTGCCTCATCCTTTGTTCCTGAAGCCGTTCATTTGCCATATGTGTGTCTGTACAATGAGCCTGTTTTGGGGTGGACTGGGCAAAAAACCCCCATGTTTCATGTGACTGACACCCTGAAGTTAGAAACCTTTAAAGTACTGTAGATTTCCATCCCAAGGTTGTGCATTGTAAAGGGGGGCTCTTTCACACAGGAGGGAAAACTGTGGGTGGTCACCTTATGAAGAAATTTCAGCAGTTCTTTGGTACTGCTTTGTTTGAGTAATAATTATTGAATGATCTGACACATTTATTTGTCAGGATATATATTTTATCTGTGAGCTGTCTGTCCCTGCAGCTGTGCTGCAATAACAAGGTGTGCAGCAGGTTACAACCACGGCTTTCAATGTTTGTGACGCGAATTCAAGCATAACAGCCTGTGGTTCAAATATGTTTATTGTTCTCCAGGGTTTTAGTTCATAAGATACTGACTTAATGAGAAAATAGTAGATATGGCTTTCTTGTGCCTTTTTAGTGACACTTAAAAGGTTTTTTTTGTGTGAGCTTGGTCTAGATGAAAGTTTATAGTGTTAAAACTGTCATACAGTATAATGTGTTTTCCTTCGTAAATAATTTGTTGTGTGAGCTCAGTATAAATAAGTATTTGTTAGGAGCAAGAAAAGAGATTTTTCCACTTGATTTTTTTGTTTTGTTTTGTTTAGTTATAAAGGCACGCTTGCACGAAAATACTTTTCACACTGTCATTGGAGAATTTTTCCTTTTAGCCATGACTACGAAAGTGGGGTTAAAGCCAGTTAAAATTCTGGTACTTTAATATTAGTAGAACAAAACCCTTGTCCAGAAAAGCTCTTAAAGTTATTAATGAATATATGTTTTCTTAAGTTTTCGGTGTCTCACTGATTCTGATAGGATATTGTGCATCTGTTGTATTTCTCATCTAGGCTGGGACTAGATCCAGAGAGTATTAGACTAATAAGGGCATTTTTTTCTTGACTTTTGGCAGCTCTTGGTCAGGTAGGATTAAACTTAGGTTATATGTTGTTTGTTTGCGAGTTTTTTTTTTGAAAATGTAATCTTGTCTCTGCATAGTGGAACTTCATTCTGATCTGTAGAAGCTCTTAGTAGAAATAGTCTTGTATGTTTTATATCATGTATAAGTCAGACATACATGATGTGCAGGATGGGAAGGGGAAAAAAATCTGTATCTAATTAGGCTTTGGCTTTTCTTTTGTTTATTTTGATTTTGTTAGAAACAAATCTTAGGATATCGACTGGATGGAGCGAGTCCAGAGGGGGGGCCATGAAGATGATCAGAGGGCTGGAGCACCTCTGCTATGAAGAAAGGTGGAGAGAGTTGGGCTTGTTCAGCCTGGAGAAGGCAGTACCTGAAGGGGCCTACCAGGAAGCTAAGGGGGGGAATGTTATACAAGGGCCTGTAGTAACAGGTTTAAACTGAACAGGTTTAAATTGAAAGCGGGGAGATTTAGATTGGATATCAGGAAGAAGTTCTTCACAGAGAGGGTGGTGAGGCACTGGAGCAGGTTTCCCGGGGAAGCTGTGGATGCCCCACCCCTGGAAGTGTTCAAGGCCAGGAGCACCTTGGTCTAGTGGAAGGTGCCCCTGCCCATGGCAGGGGGTTGGAACTAGATGCTCTTTAAGGTCCCTTCCAACACAAACCATTCTGATTCTAATAGGTCCAGAAAAGGAAGACTGTATTGCAAATGTAACTTTAAGAAAGTAATCTCAGTGATGTTGTGCCAGATCTTTATTATCTCACAGGAATGCTACAGAGCAGTGGACTTTCCTAGGAGGACTTGAGGAAGCTGTTGCTTTCTTCTTAGGAGCATCTAATCTGTCTTGGACATGCTGGGTTCTGTGATGCAGCTGTAGCTGATCTTGGCTATATGGGTGGAGTTAAAAAGAAAAAAGAAATGCTTGTATAGGCTCTTGAAGTTTTCTGATAAGTTTGGTATGGAAAACCAGTAATAATGGGACACTGTTCAGCAGAATTTTCTTGATCTCTGTTGGCTGAGGTCTCGAGCCCTGTAATTTAGACTGGGACAGTTAGAACAAGGACAAATACCGTTGAAGATGAGATCAACTTCTAATTACAGTTATCTGAGGAGTAGTGTTGCCCTAATCAGAAAATGCATGTGTGGTATCATGAGCCAGAGGTCTGTTGGAGGGCATTTCTTTCCAAAGTCTTTCATCGTGGACAAACCAGGCAGGTTTTGACCTTGACTTACTCCTTATTTTCTAATTTTCCATCAATGTAAATTCAGGCAAAAGTCTAGTTATTTGTAAATTAGAACTAGTATAAATAAAATGTTTAATATTTCTCATGGCTCCTTGGATAAAGCAGTGAGAGAAAATAGCATTCTTTGTCTGTGCTTTTAATGGAGATGCTGTGTGATGTTAATTAGGGGGAAGTTACAGCCTGAAATCTTAAGCAGTGGTCATGCTGCGGGAATTTTGTAACTGTCTGTGTACAGGGAAGCATATTGTTACTGTTGTGACAGCAGCAGAATGAAGCTCAAAGTGAAACAAAGCTACAAAGAAAAGAGACTGAGAAGTAGGAAAATGCAGGATATAAATATGGAATATGTGGCTGAGAAAACAAGCACTAGCTTGGTAGAAACTAAAAATGGAAGGAAGAGTTTAAAAAAAAAAAAATCCCCCAGTAAAGCTGCATAAGAAAAATCATAGTTAATGACTGGGGAGGTTTAGCTGAAACTTAGATGAAAGCTTATGAAGTAATTCTGCTATTACAACACGTCTTCTATGCATCATCAAAATTATGTAGGTTTGAAGGAAAGTGGTTTATTTATCAGTGCTTCTCAGCTCTCTTGAATTTCTAGAACAAAATTTAGAAGTAGACTGTGCTAAATTTTCTTTCAACTTGGTCTGAGTCAGTTGTACCAACTTATTGATGCTTTCATTTAGTGGCATGTAGTGCCAGTTTACAGGATGTTTAACTCTGAATTTGTCAATTTGTCTGGGATAATCTAATTTACCTTTGAAGACCCTGAGAGAAAAAGAAAAATAAAAGAAAAAAGGGAAAAAAGTTTAACTGATTGGATGTGTATATCTGAGTGGGTTAAACCTGTGTGATTTTCTGATCACCTGTACATGAGTGGTGAAGGACACAATATTACTGATGTAGTCTAAATGTGACTGCAACTGTGGTATCTGAGACAGTATGGAGTCTGAAAGCCATTTACACACCACTTTCTCATATAAACTAAATTTGATAGTATACAGATTAGCCAGTGATTTTTTTTTTGTGTTAGTGTGGCTATAGTTTATTCCTTTCCTGTAACTCTTGCTATCAGCTGTTCAGTGAAGGTTCAGCGTCAGACTCAGTGTTATTAAATCCACTGCAGCCAGCAGAAGGTTCACTGACCTTAACTTTTATCTCAGATATTTCATTCCCCTAATTTCCTGTAATATCACACGTTCATCTGAACTATGTGGTAGATTCTAATTCTGGAAACAGTTTGATTTACAATTCTGTACTTATTTGATTTCTGACTAATAATATTCTTTATATCCAGCATGTGAGTAGATTCTACTGTTTGGGTATGTATGTAGACAAACATCCCTTGGTTTTGTCACCACCTTGCTTGTGAGGTTAGCTTGCTTACTGTGTTGCTTTCTTGGGCAGTAAAATTTCTTCTTCCCCATCCTAATTGTGAAAACTTGGTTTTAGTTTACTGCCCTTAGAAAAATTGCTGCTCCTTTGCTCTGCTTAATTTGATTTGCTGTTAGTAATGAAATGATCATAGTATTTTAGTATATTGTAATGTTTCATTTCCCATAGGCGTAGATGATGTTTCAAAGCATCGTCCAAGCAGGCCTGTTTTATAGGTATTTTTGTACTTTGCCATTTAAATACCATAATTAGGCAACTTTTAGTTTATTTCTCTTTTTTATTAATATTTGTATTTACATCTCATACTTAATATGTATTTATATCTATTTGTGTTTCAAATATAAGTGTTCAGGTCAGAGATTTTCTCTACATCTTTGACAGC